GGCATGTTGAGTTCATATCCTCGGGCTTATTGCTTCCTGCTTTGAGTTCCCGCAAACTGTAATATTATGCCCGGTGGCTGCAATCGCCGTCCAGTCTGCGGACATAAAAACGGCAGTGCCTTATTACTTATTACTTCTAAATTTTTCCAAGAATGCGTTCTTTGACAGGGTTTGTTGGTATGTAAATAGAGCCCAAATTTTGTTTGTAGCATTGTTCTTTTTGAAAGGCTCTTGTCGAACTAAAACAATTAAGTATGAATTTTAAAAAATATGTTAATTTTATGTAATTCAATACTTTAAATGTTGTGATAATGTTTTTGCTATTTAGTTTTAAGTATAACATTAAAAGTCAGAGAAACCGTTATATTACGATAGAGTTTCAAATTTAAGGATCAAAATACTGGAAATATTGCACGAAGAAAAAAAAAACTGAAAAATCATTTCAGATTCAGATTCAGATAGATCTTTTTTAGTGTCACGTTGTAACTGTACAAATTTCAGCGCAAGGTTTCATTTCAACGAAAATACTTTTTTTTATGTACCACAAGAAAATACAAAATTGATTATGGTTTCATCAAAATGAAACATTGTACTGAAAATTTGATAGCCTCTTGTAAGCCTCTGTTTTTCAAGTGCATATTATTTATCTCTTAATTAAGAAATAAAAGATCCAAACTAGCATTTCTGGAAATCGCCTTACATTAATATTTACGTGATGATGCACCACGTGCACCACATGCAGTAAATTATAACTAACTTTTGTGTCTCTAATGTAGTGTGTATGCGGACGTGTCAAGTAGCCCCGCGAGAAATATTTTATTATCCTGCGAGCACAGCGGGGGTGGGCTTATAAGTTCCGGGATTGACATCGATTAATTTTTTTCTCTTGGATTTTTCTACATTATAATTTAGTTATATACACCGAAACGTAGAACTCCTTCCGTTTATAGAGTGCAAAGATTCTTACGTGAGACAGTTTTCCTTTTCAACTTTTGTTCAGATGTTGCTCATTTGCAAAATATTATGTAGAATATTGCCAGCGTGCTCTTTTGATATTTTTATAATCTCCTTTATCATAGACACATTTAATTTGCTATCTTCCAGCTCTATTTTATGCGTGATCTCTATGTCAGATCCGGGATTTATCAGCTCTCTTATTATGCCAGTTTTTTTGTATTATATTGGTGATGTGAAAATATTTTTTTTGTTTTTTTTTGTTCGCAAACCACTAAAACAATGTGTATTCTGTTTTTGCAACGTTGCAACATTAATATTTTTGTATTTTTAATTGTTTGTAATTTAACAAATTTCATCATCATGTGTTGGATATTGTGTTAAATATTTTCAGCAAGACGGTGAAAAGTTGTTTTGAATCACACAAATATATATATCTATAACAAAAGAAATCGGATTGCTTAACTCAGCATGTTGAATTGTATAAAGTACCTACCGACACATAATTTTATTATTACAACAAATTAAAAATTAAAAAAAAGTAATACAAATTAGAACAAAGTTAAAAGTACCTGCCGACATAATTTTATTATTAGAAACAAGTTTTGCATCCATCCGTAGAACCGTAGAACCAAATAAGAACAAATGTAAGACCAAAGCCTGAACGCATTGCCCTAAAAACTCTAAAATCTAATCCCGATATCCTGATCCTATAAGCAGATAAATGAAATGCCATGGTGATCATGAACACAAATGAATATCAGGAAAATATTCAAGATATTCTCACAGATGGATCATGGATGGACGCAACCTTAAATCTGTGAAAAAGTGTGTTACCCCTAGTGACTCTAAAATTCCTCCTCTCTATTCACAAACCTCTCTAAGAGTCACAAACCAGGATTACCCCTTCGATCTATTGTCACCACCATGTACCCAAAATTAAAACACCTTACCTCTGCTCTTCTCTCTAATAATTTCCACATTAAAGATAATAAACCTTTTATTTCAAAATACACTTCGCCACAACTTTCCAATAGCAATGGGTCCGAAAGCAATCCCACACTTGCCATTGTTTGTTCTTCTTTGCATTCAAAACATCATTGACCATATATCAAAAGTTCTTAGGAAATATAAACCAGATTTACCACTTGTCCAAAAATCTCTCTGCGATCCGTCAAAGACAAAATTCCATTTGAGATGCCAGGACTTTACCGCATATGCGGCAAGTTCGACTCAACAACAGGAATGCAGAAGTTTTGTAAATAGTAAATCTAAGACGCGTTTCTTTCGTTGGCTCTGGTTAGTGGTACTCAATTTTGGTACACTGGCTTACCAAGGATAGAGCAACGCGGGTGTGATCGTACAGTTTTCTGCAGTTCAATGGTATTTAGAGCCAACTGTGAACCATCCATTATGGTTAAAATAGGTTCGTTAAATTATTGCTTAGAAATTCTTCCTATCCGGTGGCAGCAGATAACTTGTCGAACTCTATCGTATATTTGATGGAATATTTAATGATCGGTTTTTATTTGTGTTGAAAATAGGAAATTATTAAATCAAGCAAAACTAAATCCAAAAAGTAAAGGTCCTAACGGAGATATTTTGGTGCGCCCGCGCAGTCGACATCTTTGTGTTTGAGTTCAGTGGATCGCCGATAGCGAGTGTTAAATTAAGGCAATAAATGAGGTTTATTTTAAGCCAGTCAAGCCCATACTGTCGCCAAAGCTGACGATGACCTTTTTAACTATGTAACTTCGTGAAATTTTCTTTAGTCTTGATATTCTACCCGCCGCCGCCGTCGCCGTCGCAGTCTGCGTATATAATCTCGACTTAATAATGACGGTGCCGATCAAAAATTCGCCCTATGGTATTTCGGAGTAGTACGTTTTTGGTGACATATTTTGGTCGGTGTTTTGTGCGTCGAGCGTCAGTACTAGTTTACTGATTTCGTATAAAAGTGTGATAGAAGCAACGATGATGTTTTTCAACGGTTTTAAATGAAAAAGGCAATCACGGTTATGCGACCAACATAAAATCGCGTTTTAACATAAAATGAATATGTTTGCCACATTTACAAAATCATTTACATTAAGTATTGCTTTAATAAGAAACACTATTGACATGCAGAGAAAATTCCCTTGCTTGTTAATTAATACAATTTTGGATTGATTTAGAGCTCCATTCCATGGAGAGCGAAAATTTTCCGACAAATTAAAACACAGTTTTCCACTTTCCGTATCCCTCTTCTGTCACGGGTTGATACAGTGATTTAGTAAATCTAAATTACTTCTATCCGTGCAGTACTATATTCATTCAAAATAATTTCTGACATCTCCTTTTGCGTCAGTAACACACATTAAAAAATAATTTGTCGTCACTACGGAGTGATAAAAACAAGAGACAAATCCCAGTTTTGGTAAAATGGGTAAAACATGACAATTGAGCTTTTTCAGAATAGCTGTGGAGGCTTACTTTTAAAATATACTTATTCTTTTGTAAATAACTGTTAAAAATAAGTTGATACCAAATATCTTTTGAAAAATAATGCTTTAATTGCAAACATTTATCTTAATGTTTCACTTTAGTTAGTTAAATGTTTTGAAGAAGTTGGAACTGCACTATTTGGCATTTTTTTTATCCTTAAAAAACCAGATTTACATCTTAGAACGAAACAAAAACCATCTAAATACTTTTTTTATCCAATAGTACCAATAATATGTCATTAACACCAAGTAAATATATTCACGTTAAGTAAAACTTACACTACGCCTACTTAACTCTAAAAAAGAACAGGCATTTTTGACACACGACGTTGTGGCACTTTGTAGACGCTATGACAGAACAAAGTTCTGTGTTAGGCTCGCCCGATGTGGAATCACCCCCATTGTAAAACCCATTCTATGGCAGAGAAGCGATGTCCAGATAAATCGATAATCATTCCATAATTTCTATGATATCGTTAAATCGCTGTTTGTGTTGGCTATCGTTTTTGACATTTTATGAAAAACTCGCAATTCTTAATCTGATGCATTTAAATCGAAACTAGATATTCTAAAATTATATTTGGTTCACTAAAGCGAAAAAAAAATTACCGTTCCGTCTTTTGTTTTAGGCGCCTCAAAATACAGAAGTTTAAAAAAAATATATTTTGAATTTTTTATAATAAAAAAGTACTTCGAAGGAAAACAGACATCGATGGTGATGGTTAACTCGAAATTGTGAGGCCACTGAAAATTTGTCAGTTATTTTTTGGTTACTGCCATTGACAAAGAATTGTCTGACATTGCGGTAATATTATTTTTAGCCCATTCATAAAGGCCAAGCGTCTCCCGCCGATAGGCCTAATAGAATATAAAGAAAAAACTGTTAATACGTACGCTGTGTTAATATCGTATTATATACATACGTTGAAAACGTTTTTCCAGCACATTAAACGTATTTAAATTAGCCTGGATGTTAATTTAGAATGAGCCGGTCGGAACGCTCGGTATTCATAAACATTCAGACGAGACGAGAGCTAAAGGCGTTGTTGCTTTTGATATATCATCGTCGCGACAGTCTTCGGGTGTGTGTGTGCTGTCCATTTGTCGATCTTTCGTTGCTGTTCGAGATGATTTTCAATCTCGATGACTTGTAGTAGTGCAGCAGTACGTAAGCAATAACGTATATGCAAATGCCGGAGTGTGTTTTGCCCAGATAAAACGGCTCGCAGTGATATCGCCAAAGTACATTACTTACGTTTTGTTGGTTGATTATTAGCGCTCCCGTTCTGTTTGTTTATTTTGGTGTATAGTGGAATGGATGATAAATTAATAACCGAAATATGATCGCGGTATGTTAGGCAGTCTGGTTATAAAGAAGGTATGACGCCGGAGATATAATGATTGTGTTGACAAGCACTAAGCGGTATGCAAAACGATTTTCCACTACGGGTAGGTGAAGGTAACATCCTTGCGATATCAGTTTTACATTATATGGGGCAATTATGTGCATGGCACATCCATGCTTTGGTAAGATTTTTTGGTATGTTCTGGCACAGATTTTCTTGTTTTTTTTTCTTGTCAAAAAAAGACAAAAGGTTTTTCTTTTGAATTGTTCACAACACCTCTATTTTCGCAATTGTTTTAAACAACTTACGTCATACCAATTTGTTGCGGAATGTTTTTCGTGATTTATAAACCTTGACGAGATGATTTCAGTACTGGATCTGTGGACAGTAAATTACCACTTCTAACAGAAATAGCTTGTAATTACTTCAATAATTACCACTAAATACCACTAACGTTACCACTAATCCATTAACATAGATCCACACTAAATTAGCACTTATATCAGAAATTAGACCTAATTCAACAATTATCACTAACCAATAGAGCTCAAATTATTTCCGGAAAGTATTCATGAGTGAGAAATAAATTCCGGATTTAATTTGACCTCGTATGGTATTCGGTTAGAAAATTCCACGCCTGTAATATTTAATCAATAAAAAAATTTAGTGGATTGCATCGGATTTTTTTTTATAGAAACGTGTTGCTATGCAAATCTGTTACCACAATCAATTTTGACTGGTTAAAAACTAAAATAGTATATTATGTAACAAGTGCGGTAAACGGCATTTGACTCACGAGTTTATTTGACACGAGCGAGTTTTTAATAAACGAGTGAGTTAAAAAGTTTACCGAACGTGTTGCATACTATACTTTTTCTACGATCGTTAGTTTTTGGGTATATTTTCGCAAAAAAACACAAATACATTCACTGACAGGACCGTCAGAATTGACAAACGCCAAAATTCAAAGCGTGGGAAATATGTCCGAAAACATTCGATTGCTCCCAAATCCGTGCGGTAAAATCTCGGAAATCTCCGAAGTGGCTCGGATCCGTGGGAAACGAAACTGTTAAAATGACGTTTCCCGCACTCTAGATCGGTGTGTAATTAGGTATTTTACAGACGGGAGTAGAAAAAACTAATTTTCGTACCGAATATCACACGAGGTCAAATTAATTCCTGAAAGAATTTCACACAGCTTTGTATAGTAACAAATTTTTCTATAAAAATTTCTAGTATAATTCATTCGTTGTCATAGTTATCTGTCAAAAAATACATTTCGATTATTTAAAAATTACTAAAATTATCACGAATTCAATCACTTTTCAGTTTTAACGATATAGTCAAAAAGATAAACAAATGTTATAGGGATATAAGTAAGAATTCAACTTCAACAGCCAGTCTCTCTGCCAAAATGTAATTTGTAATGAAAAAAAAAGTCATAAAATAAAATTCTCTCAAAACTTTTTTGTTTCTGTTTATATTTAATAAATTCAATCGTTTTAAATGAAAACGGCTCATCTTCTAACTAATTAAGACGTCCATAAAACATATGCTCTTTATTTACTTTAGTCACGTCACTTTTTTTGTTGGTTGATAATAACATGTTTGACTACTTACAATATATATTTGCTTAATTTGCTAATGGATAAATCAATATATCATTCCTCATTTTATAGTACACCATATTTTTCTATTTTTGCATACCATAATTCCTGAGATCGTCTTATTACCACAAAATTGCAGTAAATTACCTAATATTACTACTATACTGCTATTAATTAGGCGTAATTATCACTCATTTTTCCTAAAACTTTTTTAATAATATGGCTTAGTCAAAACAAAAAATTGAACGGAACTTTTGACTTTGGTCAGAATATAGAAATAATATTGTCTAGTAGACAAACGAATCTAGCATTTGAAAAGGAAATCAATAATTTTACTGGTAACGACACCATAATAAATTGCTAGGAGACGAATATGATTTACTTAAATGTTTTATACACGCACTGTTTCAAGTTTACCAGTGCTGTCTCGAGTTAAAATGTTGCTATAAAGAGTGTGTTTCATTGACACTTTAATTGAGTCAGAGATCTTGGGCGAAGGTCACAAATCGAAATTAAACCTCGCCATAAATAACATCAAATTTAAGCGAAAGCGTTTTACAAAGGATTATTATCCCTCGAGTTGTTTTGCAGCCTAAATAGCAGCATTATTGTAAGTGAGAATAGAAGCGTTTCTGCTGCGCCAGTCGAAGCTAGACATTGTCTAATAATTATTTATTCTTTTCTTATTACCTTTTCCACTGAGGGGTCATTTATACGAATTTCATAAATTTTGAAGCGACTCTTTGTCACATTATGTAACACTTTGAATGTTCCAACGTTTTCATCCCATCTATAGAGTTTTTGGATTAAAGGACAACTTCAACATATTCTGACCCTAGATGACTAAAGACTCTGTAGGACATAGAAAAATGGAAAAATCTCATTTTTGTAAGAAAGCGTTGTTTTTTATGGATTGTCACTAAATATCAACGACATTTAATATTGCCAACAATATCATACCGGGTGATTTATTTTTGATGTTTGATTTTAGAGTCTGCTCTATCGAAAATTTTGCAACGTTGCCGCTTTTAATAATAACATAGGGCAGTATGGTTATTTTAAATGGTATACCGTATATTGTATTACATATTTAAATTTACTTTATTTTTGCGTAATATTTTCCTGTACCTGCCTGAAGCGGTTTTCGAAATATTAATTACTTGCGAAAGTCCTTTAAATTAGATTTTTCATAATTAATTTTATTGGATACTCTGAATGAGAGTTTGTGTCAATTTAAAATGACTTGTGATCGATTGTGGCGCAAAATTTCACACACTTATAAGTGTTTTGGAGTACTTGCACCCATATCCTCAAGGAGCAGTTATTGTTTAACAAAATTGCATTCCTTAGCTAAATAATACAACTATGATTTTTAGAATTGAAAAATAAGGTTTTTATTATTTTTTGATTTGATTAATTTGAAACGACATAAAACACATAAAACGCACGAAATCTGCAGAATCATTTGTCAGAACATAAATTTAATTTAAAAAATATAAATAAACCTACCCCCTGCACTGCTATCACCCGTCGCTAATAATATTTCCCAGTACGGGTTTTTTGCCATGCTCTTACTCGGACATTGGTACAGCGTTATAATATTTTACTCTGTAAACTCCTTATAGCAATGATGGGAACTCATTGGGGGTGTTGTTGTATTGAGCTATAAAATTCAAATTTAAACAAACGCTTTCAAATTTTCAAAAAGAATCTCTTTTCGGTCCTTCTTAAACTTCTAACCCAGCATCGACCATTAATCATTCTGTATAGTCAGTCATACATTGATGAAGATCCACCAGAATACAATAATGTTATAACACAGCTATTATATATCATTATAAAAACATGACAACTAAAAATAAAAAATTGTAAAGCCGAAAACAACTGAACAGATTCACTAATTATTAATAGAGAAATAATTGATTGACACACAAAAATTATTGATTATTGGTCGATAGTAATACAGAAGCAACGTTTCAGTTTAATCGCGAAAGTGCATCAATCTATGAGAGGCCGCATTAATTGTTTATAAAATTTGAATCAACGAGGAACTATCCAAATCGCGGTCCGATATGCGCGAGGTATGCAAGAGCGGCGCCGTCGTGGCCGCAGTGGTGGCGGTTTTGGAAAAACAATCCAAAGAGTGTTCGTTGCCGCCAAAACTTGCGATAACCAAAAGGCTGAACAAATGTGCCATGCCTATCACTGCAACCGGTTGTAACGCTGCCGAAAATAGCCATACGAACGGGATTAGCATTAACCAAAGTGACTTTATAAATAGAAGCGACTCCCGAGAATACGTTAAGGAAGAGAATTTCGAATCGGCCGTCAAGAATTTCAATAGCGTGGCTGAAGATGTGGAAAAAACATTTTCGGACGAGGTATCGAAAGGATGCCATCAGCGCACCGACTCGCTGACAGCGTCCAGCGACGCTAAAGTTCCGAATAAAGAGCGACTAGTGATCGACAATGGAAAATTAAAAGTGATCGGCGGATGTTTCGATTACGATAGTGACAGTTTAGACGAGCAAACTAGTGATAGCGAAGGTGACCACTTTATTAACGGTGGATTGGCCACAATTACTGAAGAAGAGAGGATTAGCTCACGGTCATCGAAAGGTAAGTGCAGAAATACTGTTCGAATTCTTCAATAATTGTAAAATAAATGACAAGGAAGCTTGCAAAATATTTTGCAACGGTGCACTACAATGAATTGCCAGTACCGATGTTTCAATATGATGAGTGATAGATTTATTTGTGTGACAGGATTGTAATGGTCAATATAAAATGAAGAATAAATGAAGTCGTACTAATAGTTCATGATATATACTGTGTGCTCTTCCATTTTCTGTGACTTATAATGTTTGCGCATCTTCGGGGTCGTTCTACATTACTTCAGAATATTTAGATCCTTCCTGCTGACAATTGCCTAAAACGATGTCACCAACGTTTATTAGGTTCTTCAGACACTTATTTATAAATTATTATTGCATAATTGAGTAGAGAGTAAAGAAAATATATTCAAACAAAAGCACTGGGCACTGCTACTACCTAAAAGTAACTGAACTAATGACTAAAGTTTTTGATGTTTTGAAAAAATAATTACCTTGTAAATAACGATTATTTTGTATGTGATTTTAAGATTTGACAATGTTTAATTATAAAAATTTTAGAAATAATTATAAAAAACGCTTTTTAAGGACATTTATTTTTTAGTATCATCTTAAACCAACAGCATTAAAAAATCTTAGTATTCGAAAGATATAATGTAGACCAAATTAAAACTAACCAAAACTATTCTTTAAAACGGAATGTAATAATTAAATTATAAAAACATAAACATAAAATGTCAATCATTGACAATTGAGGTCAACGTTTACCTCTTACGAATTTAAAACAAAATCGTTGTTCGAGAGTACTATAGTTCGGCAATACAACTAGTATTCTCGATTGCACCCATGCAATGTACGAACAAGGTGTTTTTTTAATAGTATTTGCAACTTTGTTCCGTTGATATAAAATTCGACCGTATTTATTGGTTTCACTTCGAAGGAGCGGTATATGTTTTTGGCGTTTGCGAACACGCGAAGCATGACGCAAATTTTCGTCGATAAATCTGAATTATGCTATCTAAATGCCCATAATTTAGAGACTTTAGAAGCAATGTCGGTACGAAACTATTCGGATGTTTACGATAATATTGTACCAGGCAACCAGAAATAATGTTTTACGATCCCGCTTATATCTAGGTTAAGCGTGGCTGGAATTATTTTTAAAATCATGGGAATGGGACGGGCAAGGGGGCATTTCGAACAAACGAACGAATCGAGAAAACCTTCATCTGTTATAGCTTCGCCTTTATAACTTTTTTCTGTCGTTTCTGTAATAGTCTTTCCGTATTTATTAGCTGTCTTATCAATTCTTTCTCAGATTTTTGCTTAATTTCTTCATTTATGTATACGCGTTGCAACTTATACCGTGTCCACAAAGTATTGAAACTGTGGAATATTCCGAGAATTACATGATACATACATACATTACATAATACAGAAAATTGAATTAAAATATTGAATAAAAAAAAACTGTTTAATAACACCAACCATACCCCCTTATTTCCCTCACAATCCACTGGGAGCGGGGAGCCGAAAACTATCTCGGAGATTCTCAGTAGATTGCGCTGTAATCACAAAAAAACGATTTATCTTATTTTTTAAGAAATATGCTGGTTGTTATGTTATGAAGCTGAATTTAGTGTTACAATACCTTCTTTTTAATATATTTTTTAACTAATCAACATAAAATACTCTATTATGCACTGATGAGGCGTGCGCAAAGGTTTTAAAAACACTTTCGATCGGATGTTTTCAAAACTTATTTCAGAGAATGTTTATGTTTTGACCGTAGTTCCGATAGTCACATCACAGTCACTCGTTTTGCAAAGGTCTACCCGAAAAGTAATAGTCGCGTAAAAAAAAGTATTCCATACAATACATTTATAAGGTTCTTCAGACAATCATTTATAATTATTAGTGCAAATTAGGTATATTTGGTTAGAGAGTAAATAAAAAAAAAGTAAAAATGATACAGTCGGATTCGTAACATTTACTCGTGGTGGCGAAAGCAACGCAGTCTACCAAAATCCAAAAGAAATGTTTACTATCAGAAATGGTTTTTTTGTTATTAGAAATTATGTTACAGGCACAGGCTTCAGCACTTATCGTGCGCTTATTCGTTTCGAGTGTCCAGCGTATTGCTAATATTGAATCTTTTTAAAAAGCAAGGTATTAACTTATTGATTTAGAAAAAGAACAAGCCATAGTTATTTGAATACATAACGTGTAAACTCGAATGCAACAAAACAAAGAGTGGGATCGTATTATTGTCAAGAATCATTAATGGGGCATTGTACGGAGGACTTACATTGTTGCGGCGCATTGGAGCGTTGCAATGTCCTTTGGTCTACATAGGATGATCATGACCTTCGCAATTTGAGTTCCTCGTAGATTTTGCTTAAACTGTCCAAAATTAAAGCCGGTTGTTTATACGTTTCTCGCGATGATGCTCATTCTTAGGGTATTAAATTTAGATTTGAATCAGATTTACCGTGCGAATTCATATTCCCCATTGTTCTTTTAGCAAACTAATTTAACTTTGAGATATTTTGCTTGATGCGTTTTGCGGTATTGTACGAAGCATAACACTTTAGAATCACTTTAGAATCATTTGAAATTTGACTGAATTGGTTTTAAGTTTATTTAAGAAGGCTTAAATGTTGCGGAACATGTGAAGAATAACTATATGGGATTTTGACTCGTCTGTCCTTCCCGATATTTGCTGGAAAGTAGTAGGTAGCATCACCTGCTCAAAGAGTACGGTGGCGTTTGTGCAAAAAGAGCGGGAGGAAACATTCTGCTCATTTTTATTATACTTCTTTGTTCGATGAGAGTCGCCGAAATTTAAACAAGTGGTGATTTTATATTTAAATCTGTGTTAATCAATACATGATTTTGGACGCCTTGGTGTTAATCTAATATTGCGCCTTGTTACGTTGTGTTTGAGCTTCGTGTTTCGTAAATTCGGTATCTGTACCTTTCGGGAACAACAACCAGCCAAGTGTGCTTTCTATGCAATATCCCTTACATCAATATCAATGCTAAAATTAGCTTTAGCAAAACGCTACTAGAATTGGCCGGCGTAGAATGTCCAATGAACCTTTATTATCGCAAATGAAGCCTTATTTATAAAACACAATAGATAGATTCGTATAACAACAATATTACGGGTTTAGTAAGCACCATTTCGGTTTTCCCGCTTCAAATTTATTGTACGTTTTTCGGGAATCCTTTGTTCCGATCTTTTTTAAGTTCGTGGCATGGTAATAAGTTTAACTGTCTTTATTTGTGGAACAATCTTTAGTCAATAAACTATTTTGCACATTTGTTTTATTAAAAAATTCGCAAATGTTATAATAATAAGAATAATAATTTTTATTGTCTAGCAACTCAACTATATTCACTCCAGCAACAAAAACTAAGACAAAAAACGTCAATATGATTACAGAAGTCATTCAATAATTTCATCTACTGATAGAGAGGATCTTTAATAAAAAAATTGGGTCTTAGAGTTACCAGGTGAAATACGGGTGATGCCCTTACAGTCAGTCCTTGAAGGAACATGAAAGTTCAGCTTGCTTAGCAACACAGGGCAATCAATCCACTAATGAATAAAAACTGAAATGAAAGGTACCTCCTACGATTCAAAAGTGAGGGAACCTTCTAATCATACAAATACCAAATTAAATTTCTGAACCGGGAACATTTTTTCCTCTCCTTATTTAACTACAATATTTAATTCACAATAAAAAAAGTAAGACCGAAAACTTAAAAAAAAATGGCATCAATGCAATTTTTAACTGAGGAAAGTAATATAGGGCGTCTCGTTTTTAACCCCTCCCTGTTTTATTTTGGTTAATGTTAGTGTTTACCCCAGGATTTTCCAAACTACGCCAAATTGGAAAATAATGTTATGTTTGCTTGTTAGTTTAAAAGAGGGAGAATATTAGGATAGGTTTAACAACAATGGCTCAAAGCATATTTTTGTTTTGTTTATTTATTTATCAACGGGCACGCCCAAACGCCGCACGCCGCTAAACGTTCGATTCACATCAAAAAGAATAATTGTTAAGTATAATAGTAGATAGATAGATATGTAGATAACTATCATTAATTACAATTATAATATGTGACTATTATCTATCGCTCGATTATGTTAATTACGAAGTTATTTTAAGAATTATCCACAAACACCACAATCCAGTTCAGTAGCCGAATCTCGCTAAGCGAACTCCGCAGCACTTTAAGGAGTTTAAAGGAACCGTTTTCTGGCTATGCTTTTCACTGCTGTTGTATCAGCTTTTCCAAACACCTTGTATAACGTAGTAGTAACCGTACACATAAACAAAAACGCACGCAATCGCCAATTGATATGTGGAGTTCCTGTTAAATGTCTGGCACTGGTCCAACCGAAGCCCGAAATAACTTTCTTGTTGTCCAGATCCTAAAATTTCTGATGTATTTGTTTCCCAGAGCACAAGCACTCGAATCAATTTACGTTTTGCCACACCGATTATCACCGTATTGAAGTGACGCATGAGCATTAAAATGCACGGATGTTCAAATGGTAATGCAGTGAAATTTTCGAATTAGTGTATTTGTAAAAAAAGTGTTGAGTGTGAATTGTTCCGGGTGTGTTTGGGAAAAAAATGCTAAAAAATATTTTTAGAATGGACGACATTAGATGTTATGGCAACATTTTAATAATAATTTCTCTACTAAAGAGAATTATAATTTCCAGTTTCGAGACGGTGAAAAGGAATTATCGATATTATATTTGGAAATAGAACTTATCCGCTACCAAATAAAAATAATGTGGTGCACAACGTTTTTATTTCAAATTACCCCTGTTGTTATAGTACACTGAAATTGTATTTAGGATGTGAAGATGACGATTCGAGTCTTGAGGATGGCTCGACCCTAAAGGAACATAACGAAATTTGGTCCGACAATATTTCCAATCGGGCGGAGTCTACTTCGGATTTATCCACGACTTCCTCGGAACGAAATTCTTATAAAAAAGGTGCAATTTTTATTTATTTTCTTGAAATTCGTTCGATGCATATCTATATTAATTACTAATTATACCAAAGTGATAAATTTTATATTATATATTTAAATTTGATTGCTTTCATAACTGATTAATCCAATCCGATACAATGTGATAATATCAATTTATAACATTAACAAAATGGTATTAATTTTAAATCTTCGCTCAGTCCCATGGATTATAAAATTGTGATTCAGTAAAAACATTTTCAATACAAATTTTTAGAAATATTCAGAAAAGTGTAATTTATGGGATGAGTTTTTGAATTCTAAATAAACGAGTACCGGATTGTTTAATATAGGGTCAATATTAATTGACATTTCGTTATTAATTAACAAAGTGGTTTTTAAATGTAATTAATAAAGTTGGGAGCATTTTCAGCGAACCTTTTACGCAAAGTTACCGTTATTTTTGAGAGATTCGAATTTACAATTTAATAAACATAATTCAATGAAGTTTAAAGGAAAACTTTCTTGAATAGCTATCCCAAAACGGTTGGTAAAAATGTTTCTAAACAATCAAAAGAAAAGACAATAAGTTGGAGAAGTTGTTAAAATCGCCAATTCGAGATAAAACTATACAAACCAACCAATTTTCGTTTTATTTCAACTCATTGAAAGTATCGGGGCTTTCGATTTTTTTGCTTCGGTTTTAACATTTCCGTTAACTTCGTATGGCTGGTCCCAGTTTAGTTCGACCCTAAAACTTTTCGGCGAGTAAGCGTAAAAAGTTCCCCCAAAAGATGCGATGTTTTAGTTGTGGTTTGAATAGCAAGTTTAACGTTTTCGGCTGACCTTATTAACGTTCATTCCTCCAAAAAAATAGATACTAGCTCGACGCGTTGCACCAACGATTTCCAATGGATACGTAAAACTTCGTCACCGTTGACAACGCCGAGGATTTCGCCGAACCCGTCTACTAAAATGGAGGAGGATCCTTACCACGAACAGGCTCCGCTGTGTATTAAACCTCCCCTATCACGCGCCGTACGCGAAAGAACTCCAAGGAGGAACAACGACGTTAAAAGCGGCGGTCCCGGCAGCCTCGATAGACGAAGACATTCTCACAAAAGAGAAGAACGTGATCAAAAGTCCAAATCTCAGCACGTGCAAAGTCCCCCGAGATTGGACGATTATCAAAACGGTGGTTATTGTTACCCTCCAGCCTATGGACTCCACGACGGATGTTTTGAAAACTTTCATCGAAGACACGAAAGGTGATTGACACCTTTGAACCAACCGTACCAGTGTAACAGAGTCTTTTACTCCTTTATCGTATAGACTAGACCCCCAGAGGTACGGTAGCACTCCCATGCTGTTAGACCACAGGCTTTCGGAGCGAGGTAGTCATCCTGATATTTATGGAGATTGCACGAGGTTAAGACACGAAATATCTTGCTGCTCCTATCACTTGGGTCCACCACCCTGCTGTTGTTTCGGCGATAGGGGATACCATTGGACGCCACCTTCGTATCCAAAGGTAGCCTCCTATAAATGTGCCACTTATGGGATTAAACATTTGCTACTTACTGTTCTTATAAGTGTGGTGCCCAGAAAGAGATTTAATTTCTGCGAACGCTATTTCAGTATCAATTTCTTGTATCTCGCATTTTTTTTTTTTGATAACTTTATAAAAGATTGTTATTGTTGTCGCTCCAGTCAGGGGATCAGGATGAAAAATGTAGGAAGCTGCAATATGAACGGGACAATCTCCAGCTGCAGGTGCAGGTACTTACGGAACAAATCGAGGCACAGTCTGACAAAATTGCTGATTTGGAGAAATCCCTTCAGGAAAAGAAGCAGGTCTTGGCCGACGCGGAAGAGAAGTTGCAAAGGGTAAACGACTCTTTTGGTTAGTCTTGGGCAGTTTCCGAATCGCTTCTGATCCGGGCGTATTACCAAATTTAGAATTTTAAAATTTGATAATGAGGACTAATATTTTGATTCCGTGTACTGCACAAAGATTCTTCGAATAACTATTACTGTACCGACCTTGGTTGAGGTTGGCAACACTCTATATAATAGTTGCCAGTAGTCACACATCTGAGTTCAATGCTATTTATAATAATTGTATAGTAACGTTAAGTATAGGCATCACCGGGTATATTTTTGAATGAAAACCGCTTGTGAAGTATTATTTCGATTGTTGGAATGAAAAAACCAACAAATATAATCGTATAATTATTTTACATTCTTATTCGGGGATCACAGTCTCTGTCGATAGCTTTTTTATTCCTAATGTAGGGTTATTAGCCAAGTTCTTTTCCAAGTGACGTATAAAACAAACCACTAACAATTTTCTGACAGATATGCTTACATATTTTTTTTTTAGTTGAACACCCTATATATTATATATGTGTTTAATAGAATATCTTATTCCGATTGCAATGATATAACACACTTTATATTTTAGTCCACTCATTTTTGACAATTCGCAAAAATAGGAAATTTTTATTTAATTTCCAAGAGTGCTAGTAACTAGTAAAAAACGTTGATGGTTAATAATAAATAAATGAATAATAAAAGTGCAACTGCATCTCGTCGTCAGAGCGCCGACCTCCTTCAAAACTGATATTTCCAAAGCTGGAAAGGAAATTTTTTGCAGAAAACGGTAACCTATTAAATGCTAAAAAGATATGCCGGAATCATAATGTTTTAAATGAAGAAAATAAGGTCAACATATTAGGATTCATAAAGCACATATAAAGTTTCCTCTATTACTAGAGCATATGAAGAGACAGGTATTTCTCGGAGATCAACCCATACAGTTTTGAAAGAAAATAAACATAATGCATTTAAATTTCGTAAAACTCTCAAACTAAGTGCAGAACAATGTCAAAGGAGGATGCGGTTTTGTTTGGAGTTTTTAAATAAACGTAATGAGAATAACCATTTTTTGAAAAACAGGGGTACCAATCAATTAATGTATGGTGTGGTGTTATAGATGGCCATATTTTGGGTCCGATATTTTCAAATCAAATGTTCATGGAGATCATTATTTGTAACTCATTGAACCAAACAGAACAATATATTACGTCTAAACATTACCTAAAAATTACCTCTAAACATATCAGCGCTGATTATGTGGCAGCAAGTCGGTGCCCATCCTCACAATGTTATTCAAGGTAAAATTTTTCTTAACATGGAATATCCCAGGGGTTGGATAGCGAACAGCCCCGACTTGACTTTAATGGATTTTTCTTTTGGGGGCACATAAAAGTCACTAGCACAGAACTTCTTGTAATAATCTCGTGGGACTTCGGCAAAGGATTTCAGAGGTAAGAGATCATACAGTTAGAGTGTATGAGAAATGTGTTTAAGCAAATGGTGGTCATAGAATAGTTAAACAATTTTTTACTATAGGATTGCTTGTCATTTTTAGTGTTTTTGTTCTAGTTTAATTTGTAAAAATGTTATTGCAGTCAATCATTACACTGTTTGAAATTATATAAAAATTTCCTATTTTTGGCGATTTGTCAAAAACGAGTGCACTAAAATATAACGTGTGTTCATCATTGTAATCGGAATAAGATATTCTATTAAACACGTATATAATATACAGGGTGTTCCATTTAAAAACATATGATGTAGGCTTGTATCTCAGAAAATTGATAGAGTTTTGTTTTATACGCCACTCGGAAAAAAAATTAGTTACTAACCCACTAACATTTTGTATTTTTGTTTATCTTGATATCTCTGAAAATAAAAAACTTACAGCCAATTAGAATGTTATCAAGGTAAATTGATCCCACTGTACACTTTCTTTCCATGCTATTGCCTAAACATGTTTCTGGAGGGATTTACTTTTTGATTAAAATTAGCTTAGAAATTGAATGAATATTTAATTTTAATTACTTGGCTTAATTGTTAAGATTGTATATTGGTATATTATTCGTATAACTCCATTTTCCTCAAATTTTTGAACAAAGTTTCCGGATTCATTTCGACATTCTAAAGTAGAAGGAAGAATATCCCGAGCTTGAATTTTGTTTTATTTGATTCTCCTTAGCAAAAGGATTCGTTAAGGGACAACCTGTCTGTTTGCTTTCGAATATTATTTTTACTACGGAATCAATAGCTTTTTTTTGCATATCAGGAAGTTCTTTCGCGATCGTCGTTGGAGACCCAAAAACTGGAACTGATGTCTATCATGAGCGAACTAAAGTTAAATTCTGCAGCGTTGGAACGGGAAAATATGGAATTACGAAACGGACAATTCAATAATAATTCATCGGATCTAAAGAGGCCACCGTTAGCTCCAAAACTTGTATCTCAGCCTCAGCTAACATCAACCCCTGTTCATCATTCTAGTCAGGTAGGATTAACTTTCGTAAGGTGTCGAATTGAATTTGCCAGTTACTTAGGTTTAAAGTTTATCCAATATTTTACGTTTAAATTTTACAAATAAGACTGCCCGTAGATTTAGAAGCGCTTTACGCTCATATCATATATTAAAAGTAAATATCGGGGATAGTGCAAAGGTTGTGATAATATTAAGTAGAATACGGTACAGAAGACGGAGGGTGAAGTGGATTATGATCTCCTCTAGAATAAAATTCATTAATAAAGCTTTCCTTGACAGAAATGATCGATGATATGGATAACGTCGAAGAGAGTTAGATATATGTATAATAGCAATAATAATTGTTCTTTGCAGCAGATTAATCCCACTTTGATAATGATAAACTTTACTGGTAGTTGAAACAGTTCACATGACACTATTTTTTTCTGATTCAAATCGTATATTTTAATATACATAAAAATAATTCATAAATGTATTAATATATTTTTAATTGTAAACCTGATAACGCGGGTTTAATCTGCGTCCGTGCCGGCACGACCCCATGATTGGCTGGTTTAGTTTCCATAGCTTATTGGAGCAAAATGAATATAATTATATCAGTAAAAGCATGAAGAAATGTATTCAAATTTGATTCTTATGGCTTTATGACTTTTAATTTTATGCATGTTAATATTTTTTATCTATTAAGAATTCTATAAAATTTACGCTTACAGATTTTGCGGGGTTCACCTTCCCCAAGCCCCATAGGAACCTCTTCTAATAGTCCCAGGAGGGTAGATATGGTACCTTCTTTCATACAAGAACCCAATCGGCCCAAGGCAAGTGCGGCTTCTTTCTTAATCCAATCGCAGTTTAAAATTTAACAGTGCTACTGTGCGTTTTAGACACCACCATCTACGTATAAGAGGCAAATAGACGTACAGTACGGAAGCTTACCGAGGCAACAGTTTTTAAGTAACGGAAGCGGTTCTAATTTGATCACAGATTCGAACGCGAATCCGCACAAGAAAGGAGTGGCTTTTGGTAGGACAACTGGGTTGATAGGTGGTGGGGGTTATCTGCCAGTCGCGGGGGGCAGGCTGAGGGGCTTCTCTGTACCCAATCTAGGTGAAATAGCTCTAGTCTTTGCAAGTCGGTGTTGCTTGTCAGCCATTCTAACTAAGTTTTAGCTTTGCTATCATGCAAAACAAATTCACATTACATAATAACGTAACAAAGTATTTGATAGAAAAGCTGAAATATTTTAACGCGCTATGGTGGCTATTCTTAAAAATTCATTGTACTCATTCATTGTGTAACACAGAATCACCAGCTTTTCGACTTTTTAATAACAAATATATATAAGGGGATATTAACCGTTTAATGAGGATACATTTAATTTTCTTTTGTCTTTGTCCCTTTTTATTTTGTAATAACTTCGTAGCACATTTTTTAGAAATGTTTCAAACTTCTATGAATTTCTTGTTTTTTGAGAAAAAATAATTTCATTTATATATTAAATAGACTCGAGCTATTCACTTCATATTCATGTATTAATTATCGCGAGTTTATATTTTTCGTCTGATTTTGGCACATTTTTTTTCTTAATGGTCAATTGAAATTAAAAAATATATTTACTACCTTTTCTAGAGAAATAGAAAACATAATTGGCTCTATTAGTTATGTCGCGATTAGATAATATTTTGGCTTAAGGACGGTAAAATTTGATGGGCCTCACGCTCCAATGATATTTTCCTAGAGAAGTAAATGATTCTCCACGTGTGCCTCTAAATTACATACACTAACCTGCAGAGTGATCTTCACATACTTAACTCGTTTTCCCAGAACATTTAAAGAGAAATGGATATACTTTTGAGAAAATACTTTCCTAAAATGCTACATCAAACAAGTGTTATTAGTTGAACACAAGATCGGCATAGAGAATGGTCCTTCTCGATTTTTTTTTTATGGTTGCTTTAAAAGTTCTTAAAGGGCCTCTATATACCTAGCAGTCATATACTATTAGTATATTGTTTTTCAGTGCACGAAAATATTTGCTTGAATTTGCAACAATTTTCCATTTTGGCCTCACAATAAAACCCCGTTTATTTTCGTAAATCCTTTTTAAAGCTCGCAGTAACAAACAGAACTACAGCTATTTATCTTGTACTTAGCTGAATCAGACAAAATCGCTGCCGATGAATATTCAAAAGAGAACTCTCCTGGATCGCCAACGTTATCGTTCAATAAAAATAAAGGCATTAAAAAGATTTTTGGAAAAATGAAAAGATCGGGGTCGGGAAATCTTGAAGATCTGCCCGCCGGTTTAGGAGAATTCCAAAGAGGTGGGGTAAGGGCGACAGCAGCAGCCAGATTAGGGTGGAGCGAACCCCATTTGACACTAAAGTAAGCTTTTAGGCAATGAAAATATATAAAACATTCTGTATATATTTTAGACCGGATAAACCTTTTTCCGAGTGGGATGGCGAGAATATATGTGATTGGTTGCAAGATTTAGGTTTGGATCAGTATATCCCTGAAGCGAAAAGATGGGTCAAGTCAGGCCAGCAGCTGCAAGAAAGTCCTATAAGTGAAATAGAAAAGGAGCTCAACATCAAAAATCCATTGCATCGCAAAAAACTGCAGCTCGCTTTAATAGACACGACAGAAAATTCTTCTAGCGATTTGTATTTGGCGCAGGCAGGAAAACTTGATACAGCTTGGGTTTTGAGGTTAGTGCATAATAATCTTTTGACTAAAGATGAATCATTTTTTTTTTCATTTACTTTTACTATATATTTCAGTTTTTTTCAGAATGTTCGAAAATTGCATTAATAACAATAAGGGCTTTAATATTTCATATTACATATTTATTATTATTAAAGGTGGCTCGACGACACGGGCTTGCCCCAGCACAAGGAAAGTTTTCTTATCAACCGTGTGGATGGGAGAGTGTTACATAGACTGACAATTGATGACTTGGCCTTACTTCACGTTACTTCATTGCTTCACGTAGCCAGTATCAAAAGAGGCATTCAAGTATTGAGAGAGAATAATTATGAACCGACCTGTTTGCAGAGAAGATCGTTGCCCGACGATCCGGAAAAACCCACGCCAAAGCATGTGTCTTTGTGGACGACGCATAGGTGCGTTTTGGTAATTTGCGTTTTTATCCAATAACTCAATATCTTTAAGGGTTATGGAATGGTTAAGAGCAGTAGATTTAGCAGAATATGCTCCAAATCTACGTGGTGCGGGAGTTCACGGAGGTTTAATGGTACTCGAACCAAAGTTCAATGCAGATTTGCTGGCATCTTTACTATCAATTCCACCTGGCAAGACATTGCTTAGAAGACATCTGAATACCCACTTCAAAGAACTATTAGGAAAAGATATTATTCAAGAAAAAAGAGAAACTGAAGCTACAATGGGATACACACCTCTTACTCCATCAGCCAAATTAAAGGTCAATGACTAATATTTCTTGCTGGTTCTAAGGTACCTAATAGCATGTTCATTTAGGTCACTAAAAAGACGCAGTTTTCGCTCAAGAGGAAAAAGAGCAAAGGAGAAGCCGATTATGGCGATTTAGTGTGTCCATTGAATCCAGAGAAACAATCAGGTGATCTGAGTAGTTCAACTTTTAACATGGGTGTAAGTTACTAACTCTCTAATATTCGGTTAGGTATTTGAATCATTTACCTAAAGAAATTTCACAAGGGTTGTCAAAAATTCAAAATGTAATATCTGTTTTTATTCTATTAGCGGAAGATGTTCTGATTTATCTTTTTTCATTATCTTGTCACTTTGCTGATGTGGAGTGATTATGAAAATAAAACACAAAGACAGTCTTTGGGTAAATGAATTCTCAAAATAATTAAGTCTACATGGGGTTCTCGAGCATTTCAGCATGGAACATAATCGGAATAGAGGTAATCTTTGCTTTTTCACGATTAAATAAAAAAAATGTTTGCCTTTACTGGAGTAACAGTTTTAGATTTTCTTTGAGCTCGGCACCCACGCGTGCCATGAAGTACTTAGAGCTAGGGGAAGAGCAATTTAGAATTACCCTTATCCTGGTTTTCTTCGGTAGTCTTGGTGAGAGTAACTGAGAGTATAGTAAATGTATCAAGAACCCCATAAGATATGTTCCCTAAACCTTCTCTCTATTAAAAAATAATATGCTACTTTTGAAGAATTTTAATTTTCAACTTTTTACATGCTCACCCTCCAAAATCGGGACTGTTTAAATATAACTAGATTCCCGAGATTTTGATCATACATTGCTGAACGAATTACTTGTTACCTAACATATGGTGTGGTATAATTCAACCGGTAACTAAAGATCGCAATATTAGTAGACACTTGCATCTTGATATTAAATGGTTATTTGAGAATCTAGTAAGTTATAATTCAGTTACACATTTATGAAAGCCAGTAGTTTCAATGCAACCGAACTGAATTCTATTCTGCACTGCTTTTAGAAGAGGTTTGGGAGTCAGTTTGACAAGTTTCTCTGTAGTAAGTAGTAGCTATTTAACCATATCACGAAAGATATTTGACAATACCTGACTTCAAGTGCACGTCAACTGTTGCGCTTCTATTTTTAGCTATACAACATACCACAGGATCACTATTATTCAAGTAATTTCTTTTAGTACGCTGCAACAGTTTTTTTTGCTTATGTGGTGCTTGTGTTTTAACTTGACGTATCTTACAAATAAAATTTAGCTTGTCGGCATTGTAATAGTTTGATTAATAATATAATTCATTAGCGAAAATGTAAAATGCAACTACTGAAAATATGCAGCGCTTTATACTCTATTGGTCCATACCTGTTGTCGTTTTTATTATAGACTAGATGTGACAACGTAAAAAAAATCACCTGGACTGGACCAGTAGATTAAAAAGTTTTGCATCCTCATAATTATCGGTCTGATTGCTATTCTTATTATTCTGAATTACTGCAACGTCTGTTTATCCTCCTAGACGACGAAGATGAAGGGAAACCAAGAGGCAGAGGATGCTTATCCTCGCGCTGAGAAAACGTTGGCGTCAAGATCGTTACCGACTTCGGTTCGAAATTCGCCTGTAACATTGAGACACGTCTGAACTTGTTCGGAATATATTGAAATAAAATTATTTTTAGGATATATGCATGTCTTCCCCCCGATTTTAAAAACCATTTACCTGCCTTAGTGATTGTGAATCCAATTTTTATATATTAATATATGAGGATTTGTATTTTGGGTATTAATGCTGTTAGAAAAATCACAATAAGTATTTTTTGTTACAATGATTCTCTATAAGATCAGTTTTTTATACAAGTTATACAAACGAAGTGGATCTAACATTTTTTATTGTAATTTAAGTATTAAGATGTTAAGGACATCAGATACCCCAAACTCATAAGTACAGTTAACAACCTTCCTGTGTGGTATTGTTATTATTTTATTTATCCAAAATTATAAATATGAAAAATGTGAGACTTCCAGGACAGGAATAGTTTTAAAAGAATGAAAAGAAATACTACCAATATCAGTATTTTTCTTACTGTAGGAAAATAAGGAAGTAAAGTGGGGTAAATAGTGTTTTATTATAAATTCTGTGTTATTTATTTCAAACTTAAGAGTGAGTAGATATATTTTTGAAAATGAAAATCCTAAACATGATTAATTTACTGTAAGATTGTAACTTTTGTATCCTTAAAAAAGAAATGAAAAATTATGTAGGAGTTTACCTATTTGTTAAATTTTATCAATAGTTTTTATAAAGTAAATTAATAAATAACTCAACTTAAAATATTTGTTATACACAACTACTAATAATTACAAAACTATAAATAATTACCTAGATATAGTCACACAACCACTACCATCAGTCTTAGCTCTACCCACGACAATCCTAGAACCTATTTTGACATACATATCCCAATCTCTTTCTACACTGAATTGAAACTCTGTAAAATGATTTTTTGCTTTGGCATTTTTGGCAAAAGTACTCTCCTAAGCCATTATACAAAATTACTAACAAATCCATTGTAATTGGGAAATGTGTCTAAAAATAAGATAATAATAAATCATATTGACTGTTATGTGCCAATAATTAATATTTCTGTAGATTATATATCAGTCTGTTAATCATATGTTATGATATTTTCTGCTGGACAATGGCCTGTTTTAAAAGATTGACCACTAATTTAGTAGGGCAATGTCAAGTGAGAAAACTATCACCTAATGTTACCAAATAGCAATTATAGTATTGTAGATTTTTAGGTAATTTTACATTTTGACCAAAAATTACATGAGACCATATCTTAACTATTGAAGTTTAGAGACGAATGGTTACATAATTTACTTGATGATTAAAGGTTGTAGTTTTGTAGTTTCTATACTAATATACATAATTATACGAAATAAATATTCATATTTGCCTATAATATTCAAATATGTTAATTTTGTATTAATTGTACATGTATTATATCAAATAAACTCTTACATCTTATGTTATTTGCTTTAATAACACAATATGAATATGTAATAAACCAATATATACTAAATATACCATAAAACCATACCATGCAATATCATAAGCACTAGATTATCAGATAATATAATAAATTGAAAATTAAAAAATATGAAATCTTTCTGTGAAATGACCATTAGTAAACAGATGAGTAAACTGTAACTGTAAGATACCTGTTTCTTTTTTATTTACGCGATATTACTATGATGAAATTTGGAAGCAGGGTAGGTGTGGGCACCTGATTAATTTGAAAGAAACCTGATCGAATGAATTAGCATTCAATCAGGTTTATCAAGTAATCAATTATCAATCAACCAATTGTTAATCAATCAATTATCAAATTATTTTACCATACACGATTTTTTAAAATAGAAGGAAAGACGTAAATTCGAGACTAAAACACAATTAAATGAATTGTGCAAAGCCGTGACACTTTCTCAACTTATAGCAGCTTACAGTAGAATTTTTAGACAGTTTTATTATAAATTTTATAACAAACAAGACAAGATAAGAAACTCGTGGAAACTTTTTGGAAAAAGAAGGTTCCAAATTAATCAATTACCGAAACAATCAATCAAGTATCAAAAAATTAATTAATTATTAAATTATTTTACCATTCGCGATTTTTTCTAAAATTGAAGAAAAAACGCAAAATCCAGACTAAAACAATTAAATGAATTTTGCAAAGCCGTTACGCCTTCTCAACTTATAGCAACTTACAGTAGAATATAACAAACAAGACAAGAGAAGAAAGTCGCAAAAATTTTTTGGATAAAGAAGATTCCCAAAACGATTTTTGGAGTCCGGAGATGGCCGCCAGGTGGCACAATGGATATACAATGAATTGAAAACGTTTCCTTCTTGTAATTTTTAGTTTACTCAGATATCAGTTGAAAAATACATGCATTTATTTTAAGCTGGATATTTTTCCAGTTTCAAATAATTTCTAAGGTTCTATGATTATAATCTTATTAATTCGTTAAGCACATGTTTTTTTTTAAAGATTGTTATGTAAGCTCTATTGTAATTTGAGTTGGGCATACCTACTTTAAGTACAATGAGTTCTTTTAAAAAAATTTTTTTTCGTCTTTCCCTAAATTTTCCACTATAATTGTTTTTAACTCTGCTTCTGTAGATCAAATCAAAACTGATTGTCAATGATGGATATTTACGGTTCAGATGGCCGATTATTTTAACAGTTTTTTATGAGACACGTTGCCCCTTTCCAGTAAACAAGATAATTTCATTTGCAAAACGGTCAGAAAATCAATGGCACTGTGCGTGACGTGCATGAAAGCTCTTCAAACGAAGACAGAAAGCCTGAGACGTGCGATTTCGATTGCGTACGGATAAATTTCCTTTAATGCTGTAGCCTATTTTTTAACAGTTCGCTAAGCAAATATCCGCCGCTTTAAACAATTTTTCCAATATTTTTCATTAAGTATTTTGTTTTCGAAAAGTGTTGTGTGTAATGTATTATGGGATTTGATTAAATGTATTTAAGATTTAACTAATTCAAGAATATGAAAAATTCATGATCCGCTACGAACCTGAACCACAGGTTTGAAAGGCGATTTCGCGCCCATTTTAAAATGTATTTAATATAGGTTTTTATAGACTAAGGTCCATAATTTTTCCGTTCTTAATTTACTATAAATTATAAATTTACTATAAGGAAAAATATTCAGAATACAATTGTAGGAGTCAACTGCAGCTTTTATTTGAGTGATAAATATTTGAGAACACAAGTTTATTATGTTATTAAACTCAAAACTTTTGAAAAAAGAAACGCTTAGAATGCTAACGATATTATGATGGCACAAAATGGTTATGGCGTTGATAGGTATATTTTTCATTATTTACAAATACGTTGCTGTGTAAGTATTTCATATATGTGACACTCTTACCTAAGTACAAACTCCGAATTCTACTTAAAACTAAATAAATCAGTTGGGTCGTGTCAATTCCATCTGCATCTACCGATGTGCCGAACTCAATTTCAGATATTTTTTGTGTAACTCGGAATAGGCCTTGATTAAGTAACTGTGAGCAGTTGTTTTTAGCATTTAAATCAATTTATACCATGTTAAATATTAAAGTAAGTGATTCAATTTATACCATGTTAAATATTAAAGTAAGTGATGATCATGTAGAACAATATTGTGGTAAATGAAAAAATCTAGATATGATCAAATTTAGTAATGGTAATTTTAAAATAAAAAACAATTTTGATGCATGCCGGAATTAGTGAAATTATGATAAAAATGTTAAACATCATATCGGCTACAGATGTTACAGTATTTTTTTTTATTTCGAGTTAAGAAATGTCTTGTGCTACTTAAAATCAGTGTACCGGTGGCCGGTTTATTATGGGATGACACTTTATCTTAGAATACTCCACGCTGAATTTTTTCCAGGATATTAATATGTCAATTGCACCCAGGAAACCAAACTACTGATGCATTCTCCAACTTAGAACTAGTGTATGAGTTTTATCACTTCTGTATTTTTTAAGGCTCTAGTGCAACGTACAATAAATCCATAGCTATTTGAGGCTTCTGCCTTATAAACATGAGGAACGAAGCATAATTTCGTGTCGAATATTACTCGCAAGTCACAAAAAGCCCTAAAACGGAAGAGAGTTGAAGATGATGACATATTTTACAGCTACAATCATAGTGGTAAAAGAGATTATATAACAATTGGCTGTTTTAAGTTGCAAGTGATTTATTAGAGACCAATTGTTGATTTGCTCTAAACTACGCTGGAGAGTAAGACAATCCTCTGAACACCGGATTAAAAAAAAATGTCGGCCGCATGTATCAAAAAACTGACTAATGTCATTAACGAAAATATTGAATAATAATGGCCCAAATATTGAGCCTTGAGGAACGCCTGAGGAAGCGATGTATTCATCGAAAGTGTGACCATAGGGATAGACGTACTGAGTGCGGGTCGATAAATATGAAGAAAACATATTTATAAACGATTCGATTAAACCAAAAGCACGGACCTTGTGGATTTGAATTTTGTTATCTAGGCGATTACACTTTCGAAAAATTAAGATATATGACGTCCATTTGAGAATCTTCATCACCAGCCTCAGAAATATACTGAGACATAGTCGTTGAATTGGTAATGGTGGATCTTCTTTTAAAAAATATTATCAATAGAACGTTTGTCCATTGTAAAAATGCCAAATAGCTATTAATTGGTCGAGAAAATAATGGCGAAACATGGCAGAAAAAACAGTGAAGCACTAAAGAAATGGCATCTACTATTTACTATCGTTTGACACTTTTTTGTAAATCTTTAATGTTGTAATTAAATAACTAACACAAAAGTTTTTAAATTTTTGTTTTAAATTTATTTTTATGACAAAAAATGGAATGAATTATGTCAACAACATTGTTGAAAAATATCCAGATTGAAAAGAATATACCAGAAACACTCTTGGATAATGGAAAAAATTAAAAAACTTAGAATTGTTATAAACAATTGTTATATATGTCTTTTATTTTTTGATTATTTGTATATCCATTATTTAATTTCCTTTTTTGGCCATGTTTCGTCATCGCAGCATTTTTATAATGACAAAACCACGATTTTGTTAAATGTGAAATAACGATAAAATTATACAAATGGAATTTTTTCTTTTTAAAAAATGCCTTTTTACGATTTTTTTATTTAAATTTTTAGTGTTACTTTTTGATCCGCCCTATACTTCTTTTTTCTTTAATATATCAACAGCGACCACTAAAGAAGATGCCATTCAATAAGGAAATGAAACCCAAATCAAAGGCAGAAATCAATAGATATAATTACGTCACAGACGTCACCTTAATTATTAACTTACCGTATTTTTCGTCCTAGAATTGATATCTGAATAAAAATATAGTGTGTTCTAATTGAAAATCTTCAGATTTTGTTAATTGAATTCGCCAAAATGGCACCATCTATTGCACCATTAATGCCTTAATTTAATATAAATTCAAATGCCCTATATATATATATATATATATATATATATATATATATATATATATATATATATATATATATATATATATATATATATATATATATATATATATATATATATATATATATATATATATATATATATATATATATATATATATATATATATATATATATATATATATATATATATATATATATATATATATATATATATATATATATATATATATATATATATATATATATATATATATATATATATATATATATATATATATATATATGTAGCAATATAATATTTTATATTTAATATAGGATAAGTGAATGTATAAGTTTTTTTGATATTCTTTACAAATTCTGGTAAAAGGTATCCTCATCATTAATTTAGTAACAAAATGATTTTTTTCTACCCCTTACTTTAAAATACCCAATTTTGCTTGAATCAAGCTTGCTAAATGTGTCACTTTAATAAGTCAACTCTATTCAAAAACTAATGGTCGTAGGAAAAACTAGTATGTAACATTGATAAATCTCTTCAGTCACTCGTGACTATGACTAAAATAGCGTTAATCAAAACTTGTTGTATAATATACTACTACGAAAAAACTAAAGCAGTTTGTGAATAAACGTGAACATGATGTGTCGCATGTGTTTCATACTATCAAGATTATCATCAAAATCATTTTGCAATGTAATTATGTGAATAGCAACTGACGGTAGTTAGAGTCTTTAATTAAAGCTCCAGGAAATCTGGCGTCTTTAGTTGCCTGGTTCTTTCTCTATAACACATTACACCCGCTTAGTTGAACTCAGGTGGCTTTTACTTGATGAAAATCTATTTATCAAAATTAATAAGAACTAAAAGTGCAGATTTTCACGAAATTATATATTATGACATGACAATTGTTTCGACAACACCAAATGTATTTGATAAAGACACGGTGTTGTCGAAACAATTGTCATGTCATAATATATAATTTCGTGAAAATCTGCACTTT